CCAACATGTCTGCAATTTCCGTGATCACTTTAATGATTTTTCTATGTGTATGACAAACTCCTACTCAAACATTGAGATCCTGCTCAAATATCGCTTATACTTTTAATGCTTCTCTCTTATCCAACACTTAATGAATATAACGTGAAGTAATGGAAAGGGCAGATATTCTTCTGTCAAAATGGTTTGAATTTAAACCTGAATCTTACACCTACTACTAACTAACCTACTTTAACTTAGATAAGTTAGTTAATCTTCCTGAGGCTCAGTCCTGATTTTTAAATAAAAACTGTTAATCATTTACATTTATGGGATCATCAGTGATATGTATTGCTATTGTTTGCCTGCCTATATTTGTTCTTGAGAGTTCACTGAGATGAGAGACCTTGTCTTTCTGTTTCCTGGCCCACAAGACATCCAGCACAGAGCATGGTGTTTTGCAGCACTCAATGTTCTTCTTTTTATTTTATTTGTTCTTTTTAGATATACATGACAGTAGAATGTATTTTGGCATACACATAGAGTATAACTTATTCTAATTAGGATCTTACTCTTGTGATTGTACATGATGTGGAGTTACCCTGATTGTGTATGTTCTTTTAATTAATGGATAGTCATGGAAAAGAAGCTCAAGCACCAAAAGGCCAATTGAAGTTCAAGTTCTTCTATGAAGAGCTCTGGTCATTCCTCTGCCCATTAATCTGAATTTTCAGAGCTCTTGTACATACTACTAGTAAGGCCCTTGCCACAGCCTGCTCCACAGATACTAATTGATTCAAAGCTTCCTCTAGTATAATAGCCACGATTTTCACTCTGGACAACTCAGGACACTTCACAATGTTCTGTAAATGCCAGCTAATGATAAGATTATTTAAAATGTTCTATTCTCTTTCTCCTTTCAAACAATTTCCTTCTCAGCTTATCCTGAGTTTACCCCCAAGGTCTCAGACACTGAGGTCTCTGCAACAATGACTTATTTATTTCTGAAATCCTTGCCCTTGGCTCAAAGTGAGTGGCATCTCATGACTCAGCTTTGCCAACTCTTCATAGAGCTGGGGAGACTGTCTCCTTTCCTCAGTGTACTTTCTCTGAACTTTGTTTTCTGGACAAAACAAAGTGCAGTGATGACTGGTCTCATGGGAATTTAGAAGAATTTAGTTTTATTACCAATCAATACATAAGTAAATCTCATGGAGGATTACTGATGGATTCCATTTTAAAATTTAATCAAATCTGGAGACTCAAAAAGAGAACAATTCTCAACATTATGCGAGACATGACTGATCAATCATAACGCCTTTTCTGTTGATGTTATATATGGCTTCTGAATCTTTTTCAACATATTACACCAGGTAAAAACTATCAATCCCTCAGTCTACATAGGAGATGAAACTTGTTTTTATGTCCCAGATGTAGTTCAAAGCTGTTATTTGTTTATAAGACCCAAAGAGCAGTAGTGACTTAGTAATGAACTGAAACCAGAGCTCAGGTTTTGATCTCCCTCGTTTTCAGTCCCAGGTTTCAGTTCCATGTTTACTCTTCTTCAATAGTCATTCAAATCTTAGAATTTACTCTCTATTCAGTGTTTAATACCTAATGGTATTTAACATATACAATTAAAAAGCATACCATGCATGCTTTGGCTTCATCAAAAAGATATTTGATATATAAATCAGAGAGAGAGAGAGAGAGAGAGAGAGAGAGAGAGAGAGAGAGAGAGA